ATTGTTAATTAAATGTTTTTAACCAAAATGAGACTAATATATATTTATTAAACATAAATATAATATATCCTCATATTTAGATGATTTTATGGAAAAGAAAAAATAATAATAAAAAAGGTAGATTAAATTTAAAATAATAGAATAATTAACATTACTTGAAAAGTGAGTAATCCCATTGCCTTTAAATTATTAAGTAAACCAACTATGCGCAAACTTTTTAAAAGCAAAGTCAACTAGCAATGTTTACAAGCAATGTTTATATCTTTAAAATCTGACATTTTTCCTGAAAACTGAAGATTAAAGTCATAGATGTGAGATTAAAAGTGTATAAAATTGTAATAACGAAGCAAACATTATCATTACAGAAAATGCAGAAAAATAGTTGCTCATTTTTGCTGTTTGTTCAAATAACTTATTTAAAATGAGCTGAAACAACACAATTATTGAAATTTTTTAGGAGACAACTTGACTGTTTTAGGTATAATTAACTTAATCGTTAATAGTTAACTTAATTGATTTGTGTTGGGATGACATGAATGAATAGGGTATATGCAGAAGTATGCTGAAGGACTTTTAATTTTTCAGTAACCTAGGTTAAGCACTTCCGCTGAACTGTATACCGTTACAAAATCAGCGCATTTGAGGTCAGACTGCTTTAAAAATCAAGGTCTTCTCTGCCTGACTGATAGACAATATAAAGTGGGTCTCAGAAAGTACAAGAAGCACAGCATTCAATTAAATTTTTCCATGCCATGTCTTTAAAATATGAACATTTATTTTACATTTAATAAAAGTTCTGCGCTGGCCTGCTAATCCTGACAGGTATGTGCTTGTAAACAATCTTTCATCTCATTTTACGCTTGAACAACTAAATGAACGCTCAAATCTATTTAACTAACTATATTTCAATTACATTACAACATCGATTCTGTAAAAGAAACTGAATGAAATTGAAAAAAAAAAAAGCCATTCACCGGAGGTTTATCAGTATGGGAAGAAACAATAGCTGTATAGCCTATTGTGTGAAACTCTGCTTTTTTATAGTGCTCCTGACACTGTACACTAGTTCACTGCGTTTGTTTTTCGACAATAATTGTAAGATATATTCGTAAATTAATAATTTTATCAGTGTGGCGAGGTGGCGTGGCCGAGAGCCGTGGGAACAGAGTGAGGCCACCACGTAAGTGAATACACCTGCGGTGTGCACCTGCCTCGAATCCCACGGAAGGAGCTCTGGACCATAAAAGGAGGAACGATGGCAGAGGAAGCCGAGAGAGGACCGGGCCCGGACATATTTTACTTTGGCTTTCAGTTTGACGGCATTCTCCGTGAGTAGCTGCCTCCGTTTGTTTTGGTTTAGACGGCAGTCTCCGTAAGGAGCTGCCGTCACTGTTGTAAATAAAAATTTTAAAACTGCGTCGGTTCTATGCCTCCTTCTTCCCGGCAAACTTTATTACAATTAGATTGAAATTAAACCTAAATTATGCCATAAACTAAAATCTGCCAAACAAAAATTGTCAATTAAATATTTAGATGATGTCATTATATATACATACAGTACTGTGCAACTTTAAATCTGTTGCTGGTATAATGGACATATGTGACTGTTTACCACAAAAGTGTCCATTTTTGTAGTTGTATGTTTTGTTAGGATAGATGTCAGGTTAGAGTTTAAATTGTGTTAGTTTAATTGTTTAAGATATGTGAAAAACCATGTTGGAGAGAGGCTGTTTGTCCTGGTTTGAGCTGCATTTCTACCAATATTGTCTGAAAAGTTCATATAAGTTTACTTCATTATGCCATTCCTTCTGATTAAGGACTTTAGTGGTAATAATACTTTTCATTTTCGGCATGATAATGAGCCACTAATGCAGTGAAATCCTATTTGGAGAAAGAAAACAGCTGCTGAATCACAGAACATGAAATGGCCTGCACAGCGCCCAGACCTGTATATTATTGAGACTTAAAAAAAAAAAACATGTAAACCCTTTGCCTTTTAATAATTAAGTAAATTTCTAAGTTACAACGGGTATAACCTCCTTTTTTTTAAAGTAAAGCCAACTTGTCGCTTTTAAGGCAAAGAATTACGAATTACGTTTTTAAGACTTACGTTTTTAATGTAAAGCAACTTGCTGTATTATTTAATGCAAAATATTTAAATGCAGGTCTCATTTTGACATCACTTTGTGGACATTACTGTATTTTTAAATACATCCTGAAATTATAACACACCATTTTTTTTATTATTATTTTTATTTTTTACAGCTGAAACATCTCAATTTGCCCTCCATCGGCAGGTCAGACAAAAACATGAAAGCACATCAATACACGAGAAGACAGGCCTGACAGGAGAACAGATAAATAAGACACCAGCGCACTGACAGCCCAACACAACGCTGATAAACGTGAAAGAGATGATCAGCGTGTGATACAGAACATGTTTCATGTCACGGTCTGGTCATCTCAGATGGGTCCTCCAACATTTATGAGCTCATGAAATTGCATTAGTGTTAGCGGGTTTGAATAAACACGTGCAGAGTGAGGGTGAGAAGGAAGTTAAGAGTTACAATGCTTATAGATATATTTCCAACATTGTACTATGCAAAGGCTTTGGTTCCCCGGCAGTTGTAGTGTTTTAGCAAAGTTTTAATGACCTTACAGATATAAAACCGGTCTCTGCATAAAAAAATAAACAGATAGAAAAGAAATACGTATACAAAACGGAGGAAAACAAACCACTGTTTTCAGAATAAAACTGTATTTATTTTAAGTCCATTTACCAGTTCATCATCTTATGTGTGTGTATTTTTGAGGGTTTTTTTTCTCTGACCAAGCAATCCTATACAGCCTTTACAATACTATATTAAGGTCTGGACTCTATGCAGGCCATTTCATGACTGTTTTAGCTGTTTCTGTCTATAAATGTCATGAATATATATAAATGTAATTTAATTTCATAATCAATACAAATGTCATTACTGTAGTTTTACAGCATAGTTGTAATTGTTCATATACAGTGCGCTTGTAAATTACAGTGTGCCAGTAATACTGTAAACTTGCCATTGATATTGTAAAATTTAGAAGCACACCATAAATTACTACTTATAATTGTGCTGCAGTTTTACGTCTTCCATTTTCTTTGTTTTGTTTTTGCAAACCAGCCGTTCTGTCGTCAGCTTGAACTGTTAGCATAAAGCTGTGCAGGTGCATCACATCATGGCATGTATTGACTGACAGGTCACTGAACCAGTGACTTTGCTCAGAGAGGAATAAAACAAGATTGTCACCATGTCCAAGATTTTTTTATGTGCTGCATAAATTATTATTCCTTTATAACACCCAAAAAAAAAAAAAAAAAACGTCCAATACTGCGCATGCCTATTATTATACAGAAATTTAACAAGAGCTGGATCAGACTAGCTGGAAATAATCAGTGTTGGAAATGCAATAAAGAAGAGGGTACTTATTTACATATGATCTGGGAGTGTTGTCTAGTTTACCCATTCTGGTGTAAACTTTTAAAAATAATGGAGGATTGGCTAGGCATACAAGCATAAAGTTTAATACAGTTAAAGTCAGAATTATTAACCCCCCTAAATTATCAGGTCACTTGTTTATTTTTTCCCCAACTTCTGTTTAAAACAATATTTGGCAAGATATTTTTCATGAAACTTCTATACAGCTTAAAGTGACATTTAAAGGCTTAATTAGGTTAATAATCTGAACTAGGCAGGTAAGTGTAATTAGGCAAGTTATTGTATAACGATGGTTTGTTCTGTAGACTCTGGGGGGAAAATATGACTTAAAGGGGCTGATAATTTTGTCCCTAAAATGGTGTTTAAAAAATTAAAAACTGCTTTTATTCTAGCCGAAATAAAACAAGTAAGACTTTCTCTAGAAGAAAAAAACATTATCAGACATACTGTGAAAATGTCCTTGCTCTGTTAAACATCATTGTGGAAATATTTTAAAAAGAACAAATATTTAAAGGGAGGCTAATAAAAATGACTTCAACTGTATATAAACATAAACATTATTAACTGTTTAATATTAAATAACATGAATTATTAATTATTATAAATTATAAGTGTGTATATATACACTATATAATAAAATATCAGCATACTTTCAATATTACTTTAGCTTGATATGAGCCGATCTAATCCTGTTTCTATGAAATAAGCTGCTGCTTTCTGCAGGTTTGAGCTACCAGAACTGTTGCCATGACATCAACTCTCGGATCAGTTTTGAAGAACGAACTGATCCTGGGTCGTGTCAAATCTTCAATAACCAAATCCAGCTAATTGAGTAATCCACGTATGAAGAACAGAAACGATGACATAAACAAACCAATAAGCATCTAAAATTCAACACTACTGTGTCGGTGGACGGATTGGGTTCTATGGCATGTTGTGCTGAGGACTCTTACCTTTCGAAATAAACCGTGATGTACAGCAATGAATGTGTGTGTGTCTTGTTTTTCCAATGATAAGTATGTACTCCATATGTTCTGTACAACTTAAATACATTCTTTGTAACCTTCCCATTGAAAAACAACTAGCTACAATGGCTGCTTGAGGGTTGTAGCTTTAGACTGATGTATAATTTGTCAAGACTACTCATGTACTTTTTGAAGTAATCTCTTTGTAAACACTGAAATGTAAAAAAAAAAAAAGCGTCCCAATGCATTCACGTCATATTTACAGTGCAGTTGTAAATTTTTGAAAACAGCCGACTTTCAACCGCAGCTCTTACGAAAGCAGTCAAGATTGTCTCTCAACCAAATGCCTGCATACACCGACAACACTAATATAAAAACTGCACGGACGACACGAGAGCCTTGTCTCCGGCCTCCATCACACACGGTGAGGGACAGTTCTCCTCCATTACAAATGCAAATAAGAAACATGAGCAGAGACCGGTCCTGGAGACAGATCACCTCTGAGTGTGAATAGATTTGAATATCTGAATTGAGGGAAAGCGAAAGGTGTTTTTCTTACCCCACTGAAGAGGAGCCAGCTGCAGATGCTCCAGGATCAGCTGGTTAAGGACGCCCTCCACACTGGCCTCCCCGCCGCGCTGAAGAGACGAGTGCACCGCTGGTCAAGGAAAACACAAATTCCCAGAAACCAAAACTCAAACTGATGAAAAAGACTATAAAGTAAAGGGTAGTCTAAAACAAATATGACATTTAATAAAAGGGAAATGTCATAACACGGGTACCTCCACCACACGACACAACAATCTCAAAACATTATGAGTTATAAGACATTTCTGAGTGTGCCTCAACCAGGTGAGTGGGCTTGACAAACCACTTGCACCAGTTTTTGCACATTTGCACCAGACAATTTTTTACAATCACCCCATATCTCTTTTTTTAAGTGCATTTACAATATATGTGCTTGTTGACTGAAATAAAATTAAAAATTCATAAGTGACATTTTGCTGGTCAAGGAAATTACTGATTAAGGATATTTTCATAAATCAAAACTCAAACTAATGAAAAAGACTAAAACTGTTAGTCAAAAAGCACGTTCGTAAACTGAAATGAAATAACAAATGTCATATTAAATGATTTTTTGTTGGTCAAGGAAAAACACTGATCAAGGATATTTTCAAAAAACAAAACTCAAACTAATGAAAAAGACTAAAACTCTTTTGACTAAAAACACTTTTGTTAACTGCGATAAAATAAAACTTTCATACGTCTCCCCTGTGGGCCTCAGGTAAGTGGGTTTGACAAACCACATGTAGAAAACAATCATTCATCTCTTTGACATTTTAACTGATGCTTGCACCAGTTTTTGCACATTTGCACCAGACGCTTTTTTTTATAATCACCCCAGTTTATGGTCTAACAGAGTTGATCTTATTCTCTTAATGAATTATGGGTGTTTTTTAATATAACGAGTATTTAACCAATCAGAATCTCATGTCCCATTCCCTTTAAAAGGACATGAAGACATACACGACATGGTGCATTTGCTATTCACATGGCAGAGTTTGTAAGTGGAAAAACTGAACAGTTAAACAGACCATCTGCAGTGAGAGAATAAAGAATGAGCCTCCTCCATTCGGCCTCTTTACTGTACTTTCACTCTTTACTCCTTTACTTTGTGGATAAGGAAACGGTGTTGTACTCACTCCCCTGAAGACATCCATCAGCCTACATCTTTAATTTCGTTTGTTAAGCGCAAAGATTTGTTTCAAAACTATTTTTAAATTCAGTTCTAATTTCCAGCAAACGAATAAATGAACCATAATAACGAAGTGTGGTCAAAAAAGTTATATCCAAACACACTAAAGAGGAATATTCCAACACACGTCCTATTCTTATGCCCCATATGATGATGCAGACGTCTCCAAAACCTGACAGATGCACAAATCTAATCTTGTTTTTATTAAAACAAACAAAAACAATAAATACTACTACTATTACTACTACTACTAATAATAATAATAGTAATACAAATGGTCATAAAGATATTAAGCTGTTATTATTAAGATGTAAGCATTTGGACCTGCATAAGCACATAACTAACGCACTCTGCGCTGGACTTTAGACCAGCTTTTAGTTGGTCAATGGCACAGTCTATATCAGTTCCTAAAAATAGCAACGCACAAACAATGCGCCTTAACACGCCTCCTTTATAGACTAGCATACTAATACATCCACAAAGTGGCGCAAATGGATTTGCTTCTTAAACAACTTGGCCCTAAATGTGAAAATTAGGTTTGCGCTGGTCTGAAAATAGCAACAAATCATGCCTAACATGTCTTACACCTCATTGCACTGGGTGTATGATAGGGCCCTTTGTGTTTAACAACAGAAAACACTTAAACAGGTTTAAAGAAGTGGAGGATGAACACATAATGACAGAATTTTCATTTTTGGAGGAGCTATATCCAATTAATGATATTGATTTGTTTAACATTAGACATTTCCGTTAAACTCTGCTAAATTACTAAAACACAAAAAGCTACATACAATTTTCACAAAATCAAAACTAAACCAAAATTAACAAAACCAAAACCAAAATGAGCTAAAATAATATTTAAATGTATATTTATAAATGTATAACTTGTTAAGCTGGATTGTTATTAAACATCCTAACTGACGCAGGTTTGCTCAGACTGCCCTTTATGGCCGTTTTTCCTGGAAACACTCAGCAGTAATGCCACGTTGAGTTTTCTGCATGAAATGAGCCAGGCAGTGTGGATGGAGATGATGAGCGAGTGGACAGAGGTGAAATATTCACACACGGCGACACTAATGACGACGACCAGAACAAAAGCTCATTACGTAACAGAACTGATGCTCTCAGCAGCCTCTAATGACTGCGAGCGCTGAAATGATGATGCTGAGGCTAAAAGACGGCCTTCTACTGCCACGCATGTAAGACTACACTGGCATCTGAACAATCCAAAAAAAAATTAACAACTTATATATATTAAAGTCCGCATGAACTGGATGCTGCAACCTTTTTTTTTTTTTTTGTATTGTGATGCAGTTCATAAACAAACGGAATATTAAATGAGAAAACAGTGGGCGTGGCTTGATTTTTACTGCGAGCTGATTGGATAAAGTAAAGTTGGCGTATTTTCAGATTTCAATTAAAGATTAGAAGGGCAAACAATGTTTTTTTCTTCGTAATGACATGCATTTCAAAAGGAAATACAATAATATTTTGCTTGCCCCATTGGCAGATTATTTTGCTTGTTTTAAGGAAAAGCTCACTTAATATTAGCATATTATTTCTCAAAACAAGACGATAAGTTTTGCTTGTCTAGAAAAATTCTTCTTGATTTGAGAATTTTTTTATATTTGGACTCGAAACAAGACAAAATCTAAGTAAGAAAAGCATTTTTTGCAGTGTGGGTAGCAACTGAAATCTGCAAAAAGGTGGCTCTCCAGGAACAGGGTTGACCACCCCTGTGTTAGGGCCCTATCATACACCCGGCGAAATGTGGCGCAAGGCGCGGCACAATACTCTTTTGCTACTTTTAGCTCAGCGCAAGGGTCATTTTGAGGTGTTGCGCCATGCTGTTTAAATAGCAAATGCATTTGCGCTTAAATGTGCGCCCATAGGCGTTCTGGTCTAAAAAAAAGCAGGTGTGTTTTGGTGCGTTGCTATTTTGAGAGACTGTAAATAGTCTGATCTTTAGACCAGAACAAAGTCGGTCTATTGTCTGGCGCAAAGTGCGCCTGGCTTACACACTACAAACAAGATGCAGAGCAATACGCAAATATCTTTACATATGAAAAATATATAATATCTTAAGGATATATATATAATAAGGATATAAACAGGATATAAATATAAATGATTAAAATATTAATTTCTAGCCTACATGAAGATTTAAAAACCACTGCCTTACTTTCTTCATCTCGGGAGGCTTTTTCAGTTCATTCAATTTGCTTTTGTATAATGTTATTATTATTAGCAGTATTATTTATTATATCCATATTTATATTTGTTTTATTAAAAACAAGCTTAGATTTGTCCACCTGTCAAATTTTAGACCATATGGGGCATGGCAGGTGTATTTGGAAATAATTGACCACACTTGGTCATTATTGTTCATTTATTCGTTTGCTGGAAATTAGAACTGAATTTAGAAATAGTTTTGAAACAAATCTTTGGGCTTCACAAACGAAATTAATTATTTATAGGCTAATTGATGTCTGTGCGTAAAGGTTTCCCTATCCACGAGAGCAAAAGTGAAAGTGAACTTACTTTACATCAAAATGCACTTATGGCGCGACGCAGCTGGCTCTTAAAGGGAATGGGAGATGAGGCTCTAATTGGTTTATTCTCAAAACACACCTATAACTCATTAAGAAAATAAACTCAACCCTTTTAGACCATGCGCCATGGCGGAAAGCGGATTTTCCCATGCTTAAATTAGCAAAAATGCGTTCTGACACGCCCTAAAAAGCGTTTGCGCCCTGCGTTTTGCGCTCTGCGCATGGACCGTCAAAATAGAGCCCTTAGAGTTTAAAGTTCTGTTATGTACAATATTAATAGACGATTCTCTCACTGTCAGCAAGCAGTGAACCACAACATTTGAATAAAGACACAGTTTACATTATACTATAAAGTTTAGGCATTAGATTGACAGTTAGCTAAAGCCCCTTTACACATAAAGACCTTCCGGAAAATTACCGGCATTTTTCCGGAAAGGTCTGTATGTGTGAACAAGCCCTTTTTGAAAATTGTACATTTGAAAACGGTAAATTTGTTCCGACAATTTTCCGGAAAGAGAAGTTGTAACATTACCGGTAATTTGCCGGAATGCTGCTCTATGTGAACGCGCTGACGTAAGCCGTCTACTCCAGCCAATCAAAACACTCAAACGCATTCACGTCCGCGTGGTTTATGAAACTGATAGCCACATGAATATTTTTCCAGCAACATTTAGCTGCTAGATGTTACTCAGATACCATATTTACGTTTCTTCTTAATGCCGACTGTGTAAATATGTATCGATAAGATTCCTATGGTAAGCCGTTGTTTGTTTACCTTCAAGCTCTGCTTCCTTCAGTTGTTTAATGCGTCGCGTGTGCCCGTGAAGCAGCTGGTGAGCGCCAACACACACACATATTATGTACATCATGACATGCGAAAGCGTTTCTCGATATGTCGTCATTAAAGTTGTTCACAATACTTATGCATCCACAGAGTTTGTAATGTAGTCAAATGTTCACAAATTTAAGCGCAGCCTTTCAGAGCTCATTTCTGGTTAATGATGTCAGAATTCATCTGTATTTTGGAATGGATGTGTAAACGTTTTTTTTTTTTTTTTCGGAAAAATTCCGTAACGTCCTCGTCTGTGTGAACAGCGCTTTTTTAAATTGATTTGATAAATTTTCCGGATATTTAATGATATTACTGTGTGAAAGGGGCTTAAGTTAAAACTGTAATGTCTTTATTCAAGATTTACAATGTTAGCAGTTGTCCTCACAGTCTGAAAAAGGGCTTATATAAAGTCTAAAATTTAGCTTAATGTTAAAACGTTCATGCAAAAATCGTCAAGGACTTGTTCAAAACCAGAAGAAGATATATTAAAGAATGTTGAAAACCTGTAACCAGTGATTTTTAAAGCAAGTAATAGAGCAAATGATGACAGAATGAAAATTTCTGTGTGAACTATATTTTTAACGTCTGTTTTCGGGAAAATGGCACTAATGCCTGTGTAATATAAACACACAAACAAGCATGCATGCTTTACAATCAAGTCTATGATTCTACACATTCATGCTGATGCCATGCTTTCATCGCTGAGCAGGTCTGTATTTCTTGATTATTTATGATTTCAGCTGTTTATTATTTTGTAAGTGTCATTGAAGCTGGCGGTGGCAAGCGACTCGTGAAGAGAACAAGTGCTCGTAATCATGTGGGCAGCTAAATGCTATTAAAAATGAGGAACGAGTCACTGTTCAGGGCTCATGTGACTTCATCAGACTCCTGAAAAGTATACACTGTAGTCAAAGAGAGCTAAGAATTCTTCACAGTATTTCCTATAATCTTTTTTCTAAAAATATTTATTTAAAAAAATAAATTAATTAAAAATAAAAACCCCTAAATTTCGCAATCTATGATCCATAACAATACTTCCTGTATAGTAGTCCCACAACATCATCACACTCGATGACACTCTAATCCCGTCAGAATTTACATCACTGTCTAATTTACATCACAGTACAGCTAAGTAGATGTACTGTACACACACACACACACACACACACACACACACACACACACACACACACACACACACACACACACACACACACACACACACACACACACACACACACACACACATTGGAGTGCCAGAAGCTCTAAGCATATGTGAGCGTATGATGCTGTGGATAAACGTGTCCAGCTGTTAGAAGCAGATGCTGTCTGACCGTCATCCTCACAGCTCACAGAGATACACCTAACATCCAAAACACACACATTACATCACCTGTTTCAATATATTAATAATTCTGGGCTGTGGGCCCAACAAACAAGAATAACAAAAATAATAAAATAAAAAAATTTAAAAAATTAAATTAATTAAAATTAATAAAAAATTAATTAAAACTCCAACATACATAAAACCTAAAAAAAATAAAGTAATAATAATAATAATATGTTTATTATGATTAATATTATTATTGTTATTATTATTATCATTATTATTATTATTATTAATATTATTAATAATTATAATAATTATGATCAGATAATTCTGAAAAAAAGAATAAAATAAAATAAAAATAAATAAATAAATAAATTGAAAAAAATTATACAACTTTAATTAAATAAATTAATAAAAAATTATCATAAAATAAAATAAAGTAATTATTTTTTTTATTAATTAAATAAATATAAAATAAAAATAAATAAATAAAATAAAATAAATAAATAAAAATAAAGTCCAACCTACATAAAACCTACATATACTCTTCCATATAAATTAGTAATAGTAATTTATTTGAACAATGTATAGAATTAGTTTTTTTACATTACATAAATGTCTGCATTTAAATCACTAAAAACACAAAAATAATTGTAAAATATTATGTATACGAGGATCACATCATTTGACAAAAAAAAAACAATGTTTAATTGATGCTTAATTGACGCCCCCATGGATAAGTCTTTTGTTTTAATTATAATAACTGTATTAATTACCAAATAATAATCATACAAATCTTCATAAATCTAAAATAATTCTACAAATAGTGTTTTAAAAACTGCCAACATTTACAAAAAACACCTCAATTTAACAAAAATAAATAAATAAATAAAGCAAGGAACATCCTACATTTATTGCATGGTAATGAAGAAAGCAGGCGAGTGAGTAAAGGATATGATGGTCCAGTGGATGTCCAGTGTGCTGTTGATCAGTCCTCCCTGAACCTGCTGTCTCTTCTCCTCCTGCTGGCGGACAGTAGACAGGCCAGATGCATCATGGTCCATCACAGGCAGACTCTCAAAATCAAACTTATCCACCTGAATGGCCATCCTGAACAAACACACACACACACACACACACACACACACATGAGCAATTATATATTCATAGTTATAATTGTAATAAGTTATTTGGCGATACTTAGGAAGGCATTAGCCTTAAATTAGTCAGTTTGCATATTTTCATTTATTTATTAAGGTAATAGATTATATGATAAAAGTAATATAAATCTGACAGCAAAAAATGTTAAATAAATGTAAAACTTAAAAAAACAGTAAGTATGGTGATGTTGATTTTTTTAACTATATAAAGTGTCTACCTCAAATCATTTGTTTTTTGTTGGATACAGTATGTCTGTTGTGCTAAATATGCAAATGAGTGCATATGTAATGACAAAAAAACACCTCATTTGCATATTTGATTAACATTCTACAACTTTTAATGCAAAAAATATTAAACAGTCAAGTTCTTTTTGTTCTGAAGTAGTTAAAATAATAATTATAATTATTCTATAAATGCAGTTCTTGGACAATGTCAGTAAATAACGTTATTGAATGAATAACATTTTTATGACATTAAATGACATAAAAGATTTATGAAATAGTGAATGCCATATATACAATGTTTCATATATTTTTATTTTTAGTTTTTTACCATTTTTACAATGCTTTTTCCAAATATATATATTTTAGGTATGTTTATGTTTAAGCGTTATTCAAACCATTGATAGTAACAATAATAACATTTGACTAAAATAATAATGACAACAATAATATCAATAATAATATAATAATAATCATTATTATTGTTATCATCAACATTATCATCATCATTCTTATTATTACTATTATTATTATTTTAAAAGAATATTTATTATTATTATTAAAAATAATAGTATGAATAACACTAATAATAATAATAATAATATTAATAATAATGATAATAATAATAATAATAATTATTATTATTATCATTAATATTATTATTATTATTATTATTATTATTATTATGTTATTAATAATATTTTTATTATCACTACAATTATATCACTATTATTGTTATTTTAGCAGTATTTTTATTATTTTTAAAAATAGTAACACATATTATTAGTATTATTAGCATTGTTGTTTGTATTACTATTATAAATAAATAATAAAAATATGAATAACAATAATAATTAATAACTATTATTATTATTATTATTATTATTATTATTATTATACATATTATCATTGTTGTAATAATAATCACAATTATTATTATTATTATTATTTTAAATATTAAATAAAATAACTTAAATATTAATTATAATAAATATTAAATTAAATAACTTAAATAAATATTTAAAACTATTATTGATATGAATATAATTTTTGATATAAGTATTTATTTTTTTAATAAAATAAATTTTTATAATGATTATTCTTTTTTAAAACATTATTATTTTAAAAATATAAATAATAATAATAATAATAATAATAATAATAATTATTATTATTATTATTATTATTGTTGTTGTTATTATTATTATTGTTATTATTATTATTTTTTGACTACTTTTACCAATTTAGAGGTCATATGTGATATAATTAAAGTACACAATCCTAAAAAATACAAACCAAAATTCTGTCTTTATGGAGTATTATGTGCTACAAAAAATACCTTAAAACAGCTGTCAGATTTTCTCCATATAACTAATGTAAAAAAGACAGCAATAAATCACAATAAAAAGCTTGTCAGTAAGTGTTCACAAAAAATTGTCATTGACGCAAAACCACTTCAGGTTCATCGAAACGGCAATAAAATATCCTTGACATTTCCATGTTGTCCGTTATCGGTGAGCAGAGAAAAAGACAAAGCGAGAGCGATGGAGAGAGCGATAGAGGGCTGGAATAATGAAGGGAAAGCAGTACAAATGTACAGATAGTGGACAGAAACACTGCTGAATGTGAGCTCAACATCAGCCGTCTGCAACAGGGAATTTATAAAGGTCAATCTTAATACAAAAGAACAGTGTTGATTTGTTCATTTTTTATAAAGCGAATGTGAGCAATGCCCATCTGTGCCAAAATCAATGCGGCTCTAAGGTGGGTTATGCTTACTGGAGTGTTTAGAAAGTGGTTTAGGAGGTTTACAGGAAGATAATCGCTGACCCATGTCAACAGAGGTTAGGCTAAATGTCGTCAGCTATAGCTCACATACTGTACAGGCGAGTACAAAATCATTAGTCCTTCCCTGAAATTGTGTGTGTGTATATATATATATAATATATAAGGGGATATATATATATATATATATATATATATATATATATATATATATATATATAATCCCCTTAAATATTGTTGATTCATGTTCATGAAAATGAATGAATTAAATACCTCAGGGATAATTGAACAAATTTTAATGAATGAATGAATGAATGAATGAATGAATGAAGGAAGGAAGGAAGGAAGGAAGGAAGGAAACAAGGAATGAAAGAATGAACGAATGAGTTAATGAAAAAATTAATTAATGATTGAATAAAGAAGGAAGAAATTAATGAACGTATTAATGAATGGAGCAATTAAAGAATGAAAAAATGGAGGTATGAATTAAGAAAGGATAGAAGGAACAAATGAATGAATGACTGAATTGAAGATTTAATTTAATGAATAATGTATCAAGTAAAAATGAATGAAAAATTGAATGAAAAAAATAAATGATTGAATGAATGAATGAATGAATAAATGATTAAAGGAAGGAAGGAAGGAATGAATAAAAGAATGAAAGGAGGAAGGAATGAAGAAAGAATGGAAAGAAGGAATAAAAAAATTAACGAATGAGTGAATGAAAAAATAATTAATGACTGACTAAAGAAAGAAGACATGAATAAATGAATTAATGAACGGAGCAATGAATGAATAAATGGAAGTATAAGGTAAGTAAGGATAGAAGGAAAGAAAGATGGAAGGAATGAATAAAGGAAGGAATGAAGGAAGAAATGAATGAATGATTGAATGAAGAATGTATTGAATAAATACTGAATAAAGAAGAAATGAATGCAAAAATAAAATAATGAACAATTGGTTGAAAAAATGAATGAATGAATAAATGAATGAATGAATGAATGAGTTGAGGAAATAATAAAAGAATTATTGAAAGAATAAATGAATGAATAGAGGACTGAATAATTGAATGAATGAATGAATGAATGAATGAATGAATGAATGAAGGAAGGAAGGAAGGAAGGAAGGAAGAAAGGAAGAAAAAAGGAATGAAGGGATGAATAAATGAAGAAACGAATGAATAAATGTATGAATAACTGAATGAAGGAACAAATGAATGAATGAATGTATGTATGTATAAATAACTTAATTAAATGAGAAATGAATGAATGAATGAATGAATGAATGAATGAATGAATGAATGAATGAATGAATGAACAATCTTAATAAACAGAAAACGCAACAGTAAGGGTTAAGTTTATGCAAGCCAACAGCGCTAATAGCGACGTTTCCTTCATTCATCCATTCATTGACAGAAGACAACAGGCCAAAAATCCTGATCCATAATTCATCACACACACACACACACACACACACACACACACACACACACACACACACACACACACACACACACACACACACACACACACACACATATATTAAGCAGAACACAAACAGCCTGCGGTGCTGGAATAATGATTTCCTCACTGGTCTTTCATCTGTCTTGTCTGCTGTTTAGAGCAACGCAGTGGATTAACAGCATCTGATCCCAAGACTCTCCATCTCGACACTCCTGCTCGCTCGCTCACGTTTGCTCTGGGCTTTATTTAGACGTTCGTTCTGTCACTGTGACATTTTCCCCTTCATTGTTCTGTGTTTATTTGTGTTTTTAATGGGTTGTTGTTGTTGTTTATTTTTCTAGTTCTTTTTATTACTTTTGATTTCCTTGTTTAATTTTCAGAGAAATTTTTGTCAATTTAATTTGAGGAAAATTATTTATTTTTAAATAATTCATGTCATTAATTACTTTTGAGGAAAATTATTCATTTATTAATTTTATTCATTTTATTAATCTGGGGTCGCCGCAGTGGAACTCTACAAATGCCAACTGGCCAGGCAGAGCCTCGAACCAGTGACTTTCTTGCTGTGAAGCATCAGCGCTACCCATTGCGCCACCGCACTTCCTAGGGAAATTATTCATTTTTAAATAATTAATTAGTGTCATTATTTAATTTTCAGGGAAATAGTTTATTTTTATATAATTATATTTGTCATTATTTACTTTTGAGAAAAATATTTATTGTTAAATAAATCATTATTTTCATAATTTCATTGTTTATTTCAACATCTTTCTCTTCATCATTGGCATTATGATTTTTTTTTCAGCTTTTTTAAGTTTCTTGTTCTTTTCATCATTTATTTTCGAGAGTAATTATCCTCATTATTTACTTTTAAGAATAATTTATTTGCATCATTTACTTAGAGAAGTGATTATTTTTTAAATCAATTATTTTCATTAATTACTTTCGAGGGAAATTATGTTCATTGTTTAATTTAAAGAGAAATTATTTATATTACTGATTTTTGAGGGAACTGATTATTTTCAAATAATTAATTATTTTTAACAAGAAATGATTTGTTTTTAAATAGTTCATTATTTTGATTATGTACTTTTGAAGAAAATCATTTATTTTTAAATCATTAACTATTATAATAATTTACTTTTGAGGGAAATTATTTCATTTTTAAATAAATATATAATTTTCAGTATTTACTTTCGATGGAAATAATTTGGAAATAATTATTATTTACGTTTAAGGAAAATTATTTTCATCATTTATTTTTGAGATTATGTTTTTATTATTTACAATTGAGGGAAATAATTTATTTTTAAATAATTAATTATTTTTATTATTTGATTCTCATTGGTTTGTTGTTTTTAATAATAATCCTTTTAAAGGAAATTATTATTTATTAACAATAAATTTTTTAAGACTTAATTTTGAGGGAAATTATTTTTAAATAATTAATTATTTTATTATTTACTTCACATTAATTTGT